AAAAAGAGAGTTCTTAGTCAAAGCTGTGTCCCAGATCTCACACAAGCACTTTTATTAACATACAGCGTAGATGTATATGAAAAACTTGCTCAGAAATAAATCAGCATTTATTAAATAATAATGCTCCATAAATAAAATAAAACAATGTTGTTTTTGTGCATAACAAAAAGCTCACAATTGTGCAGTCAAAATGTAAACTAAAAAGAAGCTGAGCATAATGACAAAGACAGACAGATTTCGCAAGTGCTCTGGTCCCAAGTTCTACCGCGTGACTGACAGCCCTGAGTTTGAAATCTGCTTCATAAGCAGGTGCCATTTGTGGTCCTTATACACACACACAATACGGTAATATTACGTTGAAGCACAGTACGTATCACTCCGCGTGGCTCCTGACTACTGCAGCCGTAATGCTCCGACAATCCATCAAGTGGCGCGGCATCGTAGCATACAAAAGTCGTACTAAAACATTTTTTGACAGGTTTCTGAGCGCCGTGTACCTCATACATTTGGTCCACGGTCAGTAAGCACGACCAGATTCATACATAAGGCGCACTGTCGATTTTTGAGAAAATGAAAGGATTTTAGTGCGCGCTTATAGTCCGAAAAATATCGTATACAAGTTTTGTAAGGTGGTTTGTTTCAGGGCAGGAGGCTGGGAGACTTCACGCAGTTTCACACACTCTTCATTTTGCACTTTATGGCCCTGTTGTAAATGGTGAAAATACTAGTAGTGCTAGCTATACAGCGTGAACGTGTTAACGAGCTAACTGCTAGTGCTAACAGTAACTGCAATGCTAACCGCTAATGCTAACCGTATTTTTTATTTTTTTGTACATTTTATTTTTTATTATGCATGTCTTATGCCTGGTGGTGCAGCAGGGATGTCCAAATTCAGGCTGCATCCTCCGAAAACCGGGTAGGCTGGAAGTGAGTGACTGTGAAATTGGACGGTCTAGCCTTCAGAATTATGTCACAAGCTCTCTCGGTGGAGTGAAACTCAGCCATCTGCTCCTAGCTATCCAAAATGTGACCATATGCTGCTGTAAATTCTTGACCATCTCACACTTCTGTTTAATCAGTTTTCTGTTTGATGTTTATTCAACTGTGTGAAAACCCAGAGTAATCCTCCTGAGGGATTAATAAAGTTATATTTAATCTAATCTAATCTAATCTACTAACTTCAATCTCAGCCAAACCGATTTACTCACGAACAAATAAAACACTGAAAAAAGCCAAACAATAACATTTTTAAGTTATCTTAAGTGACTTATATATCATGTTAACCTGAGTAGTTAAAGACCGGAAAAATCGGGAGGGTTGGCATGTATGCTTAGAACAGATATAACGTTTCTTCAGGAAACGCATTTGCGTACCTCTGATCATTTCCGAATCCAGACTGGATGGGTAGGTCCGATATTTCACTTTGAATTTAACTCTAAAGCTCGGGGGACAGCAATCTTGATCAGTAAAACTCTACCATTTACAGCTACTACTGTAGAACTGTAGTTGTTATAGCTGTAGGGCATCTATATGGTTTTGCTTTGATGTTAGCAAATGTCTACACCGCTAATTGGGAAGATAATAGTTTTTTCACTAATGTCTTTGCATGGCTCCCCAATTTTCTTTTGGATAAAAAACTTGTCCCTTTAGTTAGAGTTTTTTTTTTTTGAAAGACATAATATTTCCTCCCTAGGAGAAGATGCAATCGTTAGTCTGGAGGAACCTATTTCTAATTTTGAAATTGAAATGGCCATACAGAGCATGCAGTCTGGAAAATGTCCCAGCCCCGACGGGTATCCATCTGATTTTTTACAAAAGGTTTTCTTCCCAATTGAATTCACTGTTAAAATCAACTTTTGAAGAGTCCTTCTTTTCACAATCCTTGCCTCCAATAATGCCTCAAGCAGTGATCTGTTTAATTCTAAAAAAGGAAAAAGACCATTTAGATTGTAGTTCATATCGTCCAATATCTTTGTTGAACAAGGACAGCAAGATTCTTGCTTATGTGTTGGCCCGTCGCTTAGAGAAGTATTTGTCCTCCATTATTTCACCAGACAAGACGGGCTTTCTTAAAAATAGGCTTTATTTTTTTAATATTAGATGTCTATTAAATATAATTTATACCCATGTTAAAGGTAATACATTGGAAACCGTAATTTCGCTTGACACAGAAAAGCCGTTTGATCGGGTGAGATGGGATTTTGTTTTTCATACGCTTAAAAAATTTGGCTTCAGGAGTAATTTTGTATCTTGGATAAAAGTATTGTATTGTTCCCCTCTAGCAGCTGTCTGGACCAATAATAATTTGTCCCCCTTCTTTGAGCTCCAACGCGGTACATGAAAGGGATGTCCTCTGCCTCCTCTTCTTTATGCCATCGTAATTGAACCACTAGCTATAGCTCTGAGACAATGTGCTGATGTTGAGGGAAGACATCGAGGTGGTATTGAACATCAAGTCTCTCTTTATGCCGACGACATGCTTTTATTTATTTCCAACCCTCCGAATAGCCTCCCCAAACTTCTGGATATACATAAGGAATTTGGGACAATTTCTGGATATAAAGTGAATTTTGGGAAGAGTGAGTTTCTGATACAAATACTTGTATAAAACTATCTTCCTTTATTGTCTAAGTTAAAAGAGGAATTTGGAAAATGGGAGTTCTTGCCTCTTTCGCTGGGTGGTAGAATAAATATCAAGGTGAGTTTATTTTCTAAATTTCAATATTTTTTTCAATGTCTTCCAATTTTTTAACGAAATGTTTTTTTTTTACAGTTTGAATAGTCAAATTTCTTCCTTTATTTGGAAAAAAGCCACCTAGACATATTACAAAGACCGCAGGCTTAGCACTCCCAAATCTTTTGTTGTATTACTGGGCATCAAAAATAAGGGCATTATTGAAAATTAGCAGTAGCTATAAACCTATGTGCGGCACATCAGTTTCATGTCTTGCACTTGAACTATGTTAAAATGCACTGTCCCTTTTAAATAAATAAATTCAAAAATAAATAAATTCAAATTGTACTGGGTAAAAGATCATAATTTATTTTCATGGGTAACACTGGAAAAGTAGTCAGTGAATCGAGGCTCCCTGTTGTCCTTGTTGTGTGCCCTGGCAGGACCTATCTCAAGCTTCACCACAAATCCTCTTGTTATTCATTCACTGAAGTTATGGTACCAGCTCAGAAGTCACTTTAAACGGACTGAGCTCTCTCTTATTGCATCACTGCATAGACATTGTATGTTTCCTCCCTCCTTAATGGACGAGGCAGTTATTATATGGACAGAGCTCAGAGTAACTTCGATGAATGCTCTTTTCGCGGACAATATCTTCTGTTCATTTGGACAATTGGTGTCCAAGTTTAAGATTCCTCAGTCACTTTCTTTTTTTTTTTTTAGGTGTCTTCAACTCAAGTATTTTGTTGTTTCTAATATTGATTGTTTTCCGTCCTGCCCATCTCCATCTCTTTTGCACAAAGTCTTTGATCTTAAACCAGATGCTAAGTGAGTTACTGATGTTTATGAGCTGTTAAGTAATCACAAACTGCCCACATTGCAATCACTTAGAGGAACAATGGGGAAGAGATCTGGGCCAACAGATTGCAGATGAGACTTGGCATAGGATAATCAATAGGATTTTTTTCGTCATCTATCTGCCTTGAGCATGTGGTGATTCAGTTTAAAGTGGTTCATTGTCTCCATTGGTCAAAAACTAGACTAAGCAAAATCAAGGATGGGTTTGACCCCACATGTGACCGGTGCAAACAAGAACCTGCTTCTTTATTTCACATGTTCTGGTATTGTGTGTTATCTTTTACGGTCTTCCGTCAGAAAAAATACAGGAGACGAGATCCGTGTATGAACTCTCACACACAGAAAAGTAAGGACCACCACTAAATTTTAACATTATTTAAAATGAAAGAAGAAGATTCTGTTATCAGACTGTAAACTCCCCTGTGGTTTTCTCTTTGCAGACAAAACAAGACTTTTAAAGACCATCACCACTTTCTTACTGCTGCCCATTCTGACTTTTGGTGAGTGACTCAGAACCTTCTGTCAGACAATCCTTCCTAACACACAAGTAAAACCTGGCCCATTTGTCCTCACATCCACCCCTAACCTCTCTACTTCGTGTCTATTTTCACAAACAGCAAACAAGAAGTGTCATCTCTGAGGCAACAGATGACAGAGGTTCATCCTGTGGCAGACACTCTTCCAAATTTCACATCAGAATCTCAAGGTACGGATCTTCATCTGTATCGACATTATTTATACATGAATGTACACAAAGAAAACAAATAATTTGTCTGTGATTTGTGTGAATTCAGGAGCCATGATCCAAAGCGGGGTTTCCTCATGGACAGAGAACTCTGTGCGCAAATGTATGCGGTGGGTGGACCCCTCCAGGGCCAGTAGAAGAGTAATCCAAGTAAGAATGACATAGTTTGCACAGCAGGATTCAAAGTGATATAACATGGAGAAAAAGTTTACATTTATGAACTCTGGGCAGCGTAATAATTAATTTTCTTTCCTCAGGAATATTTGCCTGTGCCTCCAGGGAACTGCTGACAGAGATGAGTGGGGAGGAGTAAATGTGTTTCAAATGTTCTTTTGTACTTTTTAATGCGTTTCAAATAAATAAATTTTGTGTCTTAAAAAAGTTTTAGAACACGTCACAGCATTTCCTTTTATGTGATATGGTTGGATCATAACGTGTTTCAAAAATAATGTTTACACCACCAAGGTGATTCCCAAAGAACCTTTAGCCATGAACCTGGCATATCTCAGGATAGTGTGCATTGTATCAATAAAATAAATCAAAAGAAACTGGACAAGTGGAGGACCTAAAAACCCAAAAACTAGCCCACAGCAGATAAACAGTACCTGAAAATCAGTGACAACGGGTCTGATGGAGAGATGAATCCATATTTTACATTTTTGGTTCAAATCATCGTCACAATATACAGACATGTTCAGAAGAGAGGTACAACTGTATCTTCTGCTACTGTGTGTAAAACATGGTGGAGGCTCTGTCATAGAGCTGCATTTCAGCCAGTGGTGCCAGAGATTTAATCAAAACTGATTGAACTGTGAACCCAGAAAAGTACAGTCAGATTTTGATCCACCACTCAATACCACCTGGAAATATCTGATGGTCAGAGGTTTTATTTTTTTAGCATAACAGTGAACCCAAGCACACTGTCAATGCAGCAAAAACATACCTAGACAGTAAAAACACAATGAAACACTAATAAAGGTGGTCACAACCAGATACTGACTTTAAGCTTGTTTGGATCTCAGCCACTGTTCTTTCTATATTAGATAGTGTGTTTTGATCAATCTCCACCCATATCTCTTTTCCTAGCAAAAGTAAGAAATGAGAATCTGGAGATTTTTGCAGGGTACTGTGTAACAAATGTTTTTGCTAATACTGAACCTTACCCAACCTAAGAGGAGTTATATGTATAGTAATGTACACACACGCACAAAATAAACCTTTATTTGAATATAAAACGTTGTTCCATTGAAAAACAGGTCTTATGTTGACACTTTTACCTGCATATAAGACTGGAGTACAACACATGAGCTACGCCAGTGATGAGGTTGTGGTTGGCAAACTCGAGGATGAGGAGCAGGATTGGGTATTCGCTGCGTCTCTTTTCAAGGCTGAAGTCCTCACTTAAGCCCATCCAGTGAAGCAGCAGCGTCCGCATCGCTTCAGGGAACAGCTCTGTGGCTAGTTCCTCAGCAGGTGGCAGGTCGCTGATGCGCTCAATGTGCTGAAGTTTAAAGCCCTCCACCTTCTGGCTGATGCTGCTGTTGGCTGCATGAAACTGCTGGCCAAGCCAACGTCCTATACAAGTGAGCAGACTGCTTGAATACACTGGGCCCCAGTCTTTGGCCTTTAGCAGAGCCAGCACAATCTCCGTCGCATCTTTTTCTTCAAGTCTCCCATTTATGTAGCGATCAATGTTCTCCAAAAGCAGCAAGACCGTCTCCAGCTGCTCTGAGCAGTTTCTAGGCTCCGAGGAGAACTGTTCATCCAAGCCGTGCAATTTTTGTCTCACTGTGGATATCACTTCTTCTCTTTGCTCAGATTGTAAGCTCTGCTTGGGAAGAGAACAATAATCATGATCTGCTGATGTGTCAGCAGTGTCCATGCTACTAACATCTACCACGTCCTTGTCAGCCTGGCAATAAGGAGGCTGTGATATTACACCCTTTGATTGTGAGTCACGCTGGCTGAGCGACCCTGAAGGGTCCAGCTGCACGCTGAGGCTGTAACTCACTTCCAGAGGGCTGTCACTGATCTGTGCTTTCCAGACATCCTAGGGGACAGATGTGATTAAAACATGCATTGTGACAGAAAAATAAAATTATCACGTATACATGATGTTTACCTGGAAATTCTCCAGCACAGCAAGCTGATCTTGCTTACTGTACAACTCAAAGGCTACTCGAAAAAGTCCCTGAATGCTGTAGAACCACAGGCTGTTATTTGCAGAGGGTACCTTCAAGCCGTGAAACCTGAAAGCTTGAACACAATCAGGGGGATCAGTGTGACAATGTGTCTGTCCTGGTGGGTGACTTTTACCTAAAAATAAGGTGCATATCAATGCGATAGCATGAGCTTGTCTATGTTTATTTTCCCCTAGTCATATTTATTTCATTTGATTGTCTACACCCACCCCGTGGTTTTAGAGGCACAGGTGTAGTTAATGTTTAACTTCCACTGGTATGTCTGTATTTTACCTGAGGGAAAAGTTATTTTTGTTGCAAGGCCTTTCTTGGCAAACTTGGCATGGTGTCTTGGATGGTTTTCTGTACGCACATCAGTCTTTGAGAGGAGATCGGCTCCCAAATAGAGCGGAATCGTTGAACCCTGAAACAGAGAGGATGAATATAAGCCACCGCCGTATAAAGCCTGACAATAACGTACACTGCCTGACCATGTTAATGGTATACATGCTCAACTGCTCATTAATGCGAGTCTCTAATAAGCCAATGACATGCCAGCACCCCAGTGCATTTGTGCATGTAGACATGACCAAGACAACCCGCTGAAGTTCAACGCGAGCATCAGAATGGAGAAAAAACATGATTTAAGTGACTTTGAATGTGACATGGTTGTTGGGACTTTAGCCACACAAACATGTTTTTACAGAGAATTTCTCTGGGTGAAAATGTCTTGATGCCAGAGGTCAAAGTAGTCTGGCCAGACTTTTGAGTTTTCAGCTGACAGGAAGGCAAGAACCACTCAAACAACCACTCATCCCATCTAAATTATGCAGAAGAGCATCTCCGAATGGACAACATGTTGAAGCTTTTAGCAGATGGACTACAGCAGAAGAAATCCACACTGGGTGTCACTCCTGTCAGCTAAGAAAAGGAAACTGACGCTACATTTTGCAGGTTTGGGTGGAGCAAAGTTTAATTTGGGACTCTTAGTGCCAACTGAACAGAATTTCAACAGGCTACTTGAGTATTGTTGCTCACCATGTCCAGCTTTTATGACCACAGTGTACCCATCTTCTGCTTCCAGGAGGATAACATAGCATGTCACAAAGCTCAAATAATCTCAAACTGGCAGCGAAAATGAGTTCACTGTACACACATGGCCGCCACAGCCACCAGGTCCAACTCCAGGAGGATGTCCTGGAACAGGAGATTCACATCATGGATGTTCAGCCGACAAATCTGCAGGAGCTGTGTGTGATCAAAGTCTCAGAGGAAGGTACCCAGCTCCTTGTTGAATCTGTGCCACAAAGATTTAAGCTGGCTCTGGAGGCAACAGTAGGCCCAACCCAGTACTAGTAAGGTGTACTTAATAAAATGCCCGGTGAGTGTAAAACTGCAGTATAGTATTAGTCAAGCTTTATTTATTTATTTATTTTACTAAGCTGTTTTTTGTTTTTAGTTAGCTACAGTACTTATTTGTTAAACATTAATTATCACTATCCAATTAGAAAGTCTGTGACCGTCCTGGAAGTAAGGAGATGTGTTTATTATGCTGGTGGTAATACATCACCCTCTTGGACTACCTGTGAACCATTAACTCACCTGTTTGGTGCTCTCTGTCAGTCTGAACGATGTCAGACCCACCAGGTGAATGAAACGAATCCTCCTCGCGCCCCCGTCCCGCTGCGGTAACGTCAGAGGGATAACCGAGCAACCTGACATTACTGGAAGTCTCAATTAAGTGCTGTCCCATAGAAACGTTCCTGCGGGAAGAGTCACTGCAAATCAAAGTAATAAAAAGATCAACACAAATGACTGCACACGAAACAGAAACAAAAACATATGCTTTAAACCCTCAGCGATGACTCGCAGGGTAAGGTTTGCTTTACACATGCGCGAACTTTTACGTACTTCCTGTCATCGCTACAGATTAGAAAGAGCCGTTTCCTGAAAAGCTACAAAAAACAGAACACACCACATGCATCCTTTAACACTCTTTATATAAATGGTATTGATTTCTTAAGCAAGAAATGCACCAATAAACATATTAGAGAATGTTTGTATAATGCGAATAAAATAACTCCAAGAGGGAAGTTTTTTTGGAATGCTATTTTTGATAATATCAACTGGGATAAAGCGTGGCTTGTTCCTTTTAGATTTTGTATTACAAACAAAGTTAGAGAATTACATTTGAAAATATTACATAACATATATCCATCCAACATGTACATTTCAAGATTCTGTGACATTGATAGAAAATGTACCTTTTGT